AGCCTAATGGCATAACTTCACAAGGATTAAAGAATTCTAAGAAAATATTAAGAATACTCCTTTTAAGTTTGTTAAAGAAAAGAAATGTTTGCTAACATGAAAAACATACACAAATAAGAAAAATATGGTAATATCAACGGAATAAATTTATAATTCCAAAAAGCCTACAAAAAAATTTAATCTTCTTGCTTCTAATATACTACAAATACATGTATAAACTATTTTCGTATTTTATTTGAAGCTTTTGTAAGCATCCACTAAGAGCCAAATCACCAAAAAAATAAGAATTCCTAAAATCCCAAAATTATGGGATTCTATAAGGGAGAACTGCATTAATTATCTCAAAAAAATCATTTCTAAATAAAAAAAAACTCAAAAAATAAAAGGAGCAGAGAGCTTGGGTGTGCACCATTTTTGTTTGCTTGTCTTTTTCTTTTTCTTTTCTCTTTTTTTTTTTTCATGGCCAAAAGAGTGTACTCCTAATTTTCTTGAAAGAGCATATAGGTGCAAGTTATTCATGAAAGAACTACAAAAGATAATAGATAAAAGATGCATAAAACCAAAAAGAAATAATTAAGAGAAATAATACAAGTTAAGAAATTTTGTGTTTGAACAAAGAGAGAACTTCTCTTGAATGATTTCATATGCCAAACTTATCTCTTCTCTCGAATGATTTCATATATAGCGCTTAAGCAATGATTAAGCTTTGAGCTCTACTTTGGAGGTCCAAATTAAAATCACTCAACCTGATCTTTTTGTTCAAAATAAGATGATATCAGAAATTAAACAACCCGCAATACGAAAGCAAATATTTTCACTCAAAACAAATAGAGTTACAATTAAGACCCACAACAAGGACGGGAAGACAATACAACACAAATCTCCGGCAAGGGCGAATTGGGATAGCCAGGTGACAGTTGTGAGGTGGTCGTTAGTTGGAAGGGAGCAAGCTGGTTTGCAATTGAAGATGGGAGAGGGCTTAAGAGGAGTTGTGATACGTGAAGGTTGTAGGGCCATGAGGCTTGAGGGTGCTAAGTGGGGCTGAGGGTGATATCAGGAGAGGTTGGGGTGCTATTGTGGTTGTGGGAAGGCTGGGAGGAGATAAACGACAGGCTAGAAAGATGGGAGGTGAGGTGTGATACCAATAGATGGGGTGGAATTGGGGGAAAGGATTATGGCAACAACAGGTTGTGGGGGAGATTCTGACGACAGAAGGAAGATTCCCTAGGTTAGCGGCAAAAAATTAGGGAAGGTGGAAAGGATTATGGAAACAACAGGTTGTGGGGGAGATTCTGATGACAGAAAAAAGATTCCCTAGGTTAGCGGCAAAAAATTAGGGAAGAGAGAAGGTGTTCAGGATAGAGGGCACCGGGCAGGTGAGGGGAATGAGGAAGGATGCACACCACCTCGTGACGAGATACAACCGGAGCAGTTTCTCGCTGTCAAATACTGCCCCATAAGAGAGAGAGAGAACGTCGGAGGTTGTCCAAACAAAAATATAAACTAAAAACTAAACTCTAACACAACAAACAACCTATTTTTAATAAAAGATAAATACAAGGGGTCCCCCTTGGGCGGAAGCAGCTCCTAGCCCTAATTAGGGTTGGCCAGTTCAACCATTCTGCTTAACTGGCAACCCACTTGCAGAATTAAGAGCTCGGTTTAACCCTAGCATCCCCGTGTCATAAGAATTTGTTTTCATACCATATAATTGACTGGCACATCTCAAAATGATCTTATTTATGAAAAAAATATATGTCAAATTGCCACGACCGGGCCCAAAAACTTGGAATTTTCAAAGAAACAACTGTTGGACAGTAAAATTTAAAATTTTCTATTTTCATTTTTCGATCACTAACTGTCTACAATCCACATATAAATTAAAAGAGTTGCTAAAGAAAATAATTTTATTGACAAATAAAAAGTTTATATTTTTGTTTGTTGACCTCGCCTGCTATACAAATTCTCTCCCCCACTAGTAACTTTCTTCTTTTAAGTGCCGACACCCACTACTCATCTTTTATTCAAAAACTTAGACCTGAAAAACATTAAAACAATATAAGAACAACAAAAAGACTTCTCTTGAATGATTTCATATATCACACTTATCTCTTCTCTTGAATGATTTCATATGTAGTGCTTAGGCAATGATTAAGCTCTGAGCTCTATTTTGGAGGTCAAAAGTAAAAAACTCATCCAAAGGATCTTTATGTTAAAAATAATAATTTTCTCAAGACATAAAATTGAATTGCACATCTCAAAATGACCTTATTCATTAATGAAAATATATATTTCAAATTGTCACAACCATGCCCGATGGCTTGGAATTTTCAAGGATGGTCAAACAGTCAAATTTTTTAATTTTCTATTTTTATTTTGCAATCACTAACAACTTATAATCCAAATATAAATTCAAAAAGCCACAAAAGAAAGTAGCTTTATTAACAAATAATAGGTTTACATTTCCATTAGTTGATCTCGTCTTTTATACACATTCTCTTCTCCAATACTCATCTTTTATTCATTATTCCAAAGCTTAAACCTAAAAAAAATTAAAACAACACAATGAATTATCCAAGATAATCCAAAGGAGTAATTACACTTTTAAATTACAATAATCCAATGCAAAAAATAAATATGAATGTTGACCTTTTATATTACATTATAGGCAGTCTAATAATATTTTATATAAAATATACAAGATAATTGTTAATGGAAGGACTTTAAAATCTCAATATGCATTAATTTTTTCTTTACTTTTTAAGGGGTCTTTTAACTAATTAAAAACTTCTTACTATTAACATTTACATCCGTCTCAAGAACGTTGTCTAAATATAACCCAACACACCACAAGTCGATGCATACCCATCCTTATAATGGTGCAATGATCAAATTCACTATTGCCTGAGGTAGAAATGTACAGATTTACCCGACCGATATTTTCCTGTCAGCAATTGGTTTGTGATCTAAATTATAACATTGTCTGAGATGAAATGAAAACATCAACGCACGCAAATACATTGATGTGATGGTGAACTCTTTTTTCTTGGCATGCACATACAAGAATTCATGTATATAGTATTTTCATTTTATTTTATAAAGCATATGTTATCTTCTTATAAGATGCTTTGTATTTATTTACCAATGAATAAATACATCTCTGATAGAATGATATCGGAGTTAACCCAAAGTACAATAAACAAACAAATATTATTACTGTAAAAACCAATAGGCGATTACAATCAATACAATAAAAATGTAAAACAACAATAGATATGACACAGAACGCACGACTACGGCGGCTTTAAGGAGGTCGTGACTGCTAGGAACTTAGAAAGGTGGTGGCAAGGTGTTAGATGGGTTGGACAGCGAAGAAACCGAGGTTAGAGGTGGTCCAGAGCGGCTGTCTCAGCAGTTGAGCCACAGGAAGAAGTATTTTGGATAGCTGGCCGCAAGGAGGCAGCAAGAGGGAAGGTTCTGAGTGGCAGAGACAACAGCAGTGGTGTCGTAGGAAAGATTCAAGGTGGCTGGCAGCGAGGAGTCGGCAAGGGGGGTGGTTCTAAGTGGCTGGAATAGCAGCTCAGATGATTCTAGTTGCTAGAACAACAACAAGGACGCAGAAGGGTGGATTCACTTGTAGCAAAGGGGGTGGTTGAAAGAGCAGGAACTGCAGAAAAACAAACGGGGTGGGGTTATCGGGGTGGCTGCGGCGAGGAGGAATGCGTGTCAGCAAAGGGAGGGATGCAGAGTAATTAGGAATGGATAAACACCACCTCAGGAATGAGATACTGTTGAAGAATCACTTGACTCCCTGTAAGAATCTCACATAAATCATCTCTTCCTCTACTTCTTCCTCACCCTCGCCTCTGTCTCTCATTCTCTCTCTTGACTCTCCTCTAGTTCGACTCAAATGAGAAGTTCATCTCCAAAGCAGACAATCAAGACAACTTCCTACCAATCACAATTTTTTTCTCTTTTTATCGACAGTTATTATTATTATTATTATTATTTGTCAATTATCACACAAGTACTAAAAATTTCTATAAAGTTCAATTAACATAAAATCAATAAGAAAAGTGTTAAAATAGTTCCCAGACACTTTGTAGGGGTTCATTTTAGTCCCAAAGTTTATAGAAGTGTTAACTTAATCTCCAAAATCTTTTGATATGGGTTGAAATACTTCCGAATAAGGACTATTTTAGCCCTTATTAAAAGAGCGTGGAAACTAATTTAGCACTTTTTATATAAACTTTTATACTATAATGACCCAATTTAAATAGCTAGGGAACTATTTTGGCACTTCACTCTTAAATGAATCAAATATTCAAGATGAGATAAAAAAATTGAAAGCTTATCCATGCATGGGCAAGCATCTAGGGAAAGGCTAGATCAAGGCATTCACAGTTCAGTCTATTTAACATATTAAAAGGAGAGTGGAAGCTATTGACCTAGCATATACCTGTTAGCAGCAAGGATGGAGAAGCCCTTGGACCAATTCAGCTTGAAAAGACAGTATATTTTATAAATCAAGCAAAATGAAGGTATATACCGTACAAAGTTTAAGTTTGGATAAACATAGTGAATTTGGGTGAGATCTTTGTCTGATTAATAGACTATGGCTCCACGTTCATACTATTAATATAAGGATGGTCATCATCATCATCATCTAGATCCAACTATTTGGGATTTTTGTTAAATATAAGGATAGTATGATAGCAATTTTTTTTCCTTCAATTGATCTAAGAGATCAAGTTGCTTTCAACAAAAAGCAATCGAGTTGCAAAAGCCTTGTCACAGAAATTTTTAGCATTTGTAATTCTTTTTCACTTGTAAACAGAACTCTACTTTAGAATCCGTAAGTACCAAAGAACAAGTAATCAAACAATATTAAAGCCACATAAAAAACTCCAACTAAACATTAGAATTTTATATAACATAACGAATTACTTTTCAGGAAAATATAGATATCCTGCTAAATGAAGTAATAAATAGAACAATACCTCCTCAAGCATGGAACCACCTTCAGAAGTTAAAGCAGTGCGCCCTTCTAAAACACTAACAAAAGAAGACAAGGCCAAGCTAGCATCAAAAAGACAATTCCGCAGGGCCAGGAGATTGTCTTGTAGATCAGCTGCAAAAATGTGCAAATAAAATCTCTAAACTGCTCATACATCTATATATTTATATACTCATTTACAGGTTATGAGCAGACAACACCATTATCTTAAATCTTCAATAAGGGGTCATTTCTTCAGGATTGCATAAATGCATATATCAAGAAAAAAAACAGCAAACTCATATAGTTTGAGGATAGTAGCAATAATTTTACCAGAAGACGATTTTGCCTTTGCAGATGCAATACATAGCTCATTGGTAGCAGAAAGCAAACCCTTGGCAGCAGCTTCCATCTTATTCTGTGACAGCTTCCATTCTTTTTCAGCACCTAATTAAGAATTTAAGAAAATTAGAAACCTTATAATCTCAAGAAGAAAAACTTTGCTGATAAACTGTTAGATGTCAGTATAAATGTTGAACCAACAGATCAGAAAAATACTCAACAAGCATAGAAACTCACGTGCAAAAGAGTGATATGCAGAATCTAATTTTGTCACAGCAGTGAAGTAAGTTTGTTGCCATGTTCGGGAGTCGCCTGTAGTCTGACCAAAGAATTTACCTCCATGTATCCAGGAAAGACCATCTCTCGATGCTTCAAGCTCGACCACATATGTGCATATTTTGCGGACATCAGATGCATGTTCGTGAGCAGTCCACAGCAACTTTCTCCTCCTTAATAGATGATCATGAAATTCAGAAGGAATACCAGAACACTTAGTTGAAGAACTGCCAGTGCCAGCAGTATTTGAGCCCGCACAAGCCCATACCATAGCCCTTTCTAGCTGTCCTTCAGCCGAGATAGAAGTACTCTCAAGAGCTTTCAAACTCTCCAATGATCTTGCCACTGAGGAGATTGAAGACCGCATCTTCTCCAACAATTTTCCCCTGCTAATCTGCAGGAGTTTATTATTATTTAAAGTATTTTGCAAGAAAACCTTGTTTTTTAGTAATTGTGGCAACGTTTGATCATGCAACCATTCCAACTGAATAATTTCCAATGTGGTCTTGTGAAGTGCCTCTGTGAGTTGATCGACGCGTCTTTTCATAGAATAAACTGCTGAATTTGCAGCCCTTGCAGTCTCATGTGCGTTGCAATATTCTTCAAGCATAAGCTTTACCCTTCTCACAGCTTCAGAACAGTCTTTTGCATTCTTCTCAGCAATGAAGTTCTTTATTTCTTCAGTCTTTTGATGGAGATTCTCATTTTCTCTTTCTAACCGTGCCAAAAAAGCAGGGGCTACCCTCTCTTTCAGATATTGCCCAAGTTGTTCTTGCAGATGCAGCCCAAGCTTATCTTTGAGAACATCACATAGCTGATCAAGCCTGATATTATGATCAACAGAAGATGATAACTCATGCATGCAAGAATCAAGCATGGAATCTACAACGCCTATTTTCCAGACAAAAAATGAATGGTTTTTTAAAATGTAAGAGAACCTCCAGATTGAGTTAAAGAGTGGAAAACCGGTCAAAAATTTTGATAGAGTATCTGAAGATCCAATAGATTCAGAAATAGTATATGATGATAGCATATGGTCGAGAGATTCCAGCTCTGAAAACGGCTTTACCAGTGCAGATAGGAGGGACTTGCTTTCTTTTGCGTTCGATTCTCCATCTTCTAAACTTATCAAGGACGAGAAGTATACCTCTAGAGCAGATAATGAATTACTAATATTAGCCTCCATCCTTGACAGAGAAGTTACCCGCACATCTTTCTCATTCCATGCCTGATGGAGTTTGTCAAGCTGAGCACGACATGCCTCCCCTTGGTTTGCTAACTCTTCGTTCTCCTCCCAGGACAAATGATCACGACCATCAGAAGCGGCTTCTTCAAGGGAAAGCTGCTTCTCTGTGATGAGACCAACCTTCATGAAATAATTTTTCTCAAGCTCCAACAAAGACGCTCTATCTAACTCCACCTCAACAAGCTTTTCTAGAGCAGTATCAATGGAACCTCGAACATGAGAAAGGGATCCAAAAGCATCCATTACTTCTGCATTGGAAGAGACAAGTGTATGAATTATTTCAGGGAGAACAGATCCCGTAATTTTTTCAGTCAGATGCTTAATGGAACGCAAAATGGCCTGAAATGTAGAGGCCCAATTGTGCTCAAGCTTATCATTATCAGCACAATACGTAACAAAATCTATACCAATAAATTCTTGAATATCTACCGCAAATCCAGCAAGCAGTACACACTTCTCAATCTGCTCTTCAAGCTCATGAGAGACAATGTCAAAATCATTCTCTGGAGCATCATCTGTTCTCCAGCTAATTTTTCTGCTGGAGACCTTGGATATGGAGATCAAATTCTCTTTAACATCCATGTACAGTTCATTGATAGCAATGTTCAAAATACATAGGACCTTCTCTTTCTTCACATCAAGATCCCTAGAGCCATCAAGCTTCTGCTTTCCTAGATGATTAAAAGGAAAATCATCTTCTCTAATACTATACCAAGCAGACTGCAAATGCTTCAAAAAGGCAGATAACAACCGCTCTAGTATCTGAACCAAGAGAGTTCATCAGTTCAGAACACTCTTTATCAAGTGTTTCGATTTCCATGGCATATCTTTCCATACTGCCAAAGAGATCCTGATGCCTCTTTTGAATTGAATCAAGACCAATCCCTTGGGCTTTTGCCATAATATCAGCAGCTTGCCTTACGGCGAGGGAGAGAACCTCAGCAGATAGGTTATTCACTGAGAGCTGCAGAACTTGAGCCCAACTGTTCACCGGGCTGGTGGTAACATAATTGAATGGGAGAAAACTTTGCAAAGCGAAGGCATACTCATGCAATGCCTCAATTCCACGAGAAATCCCATCATCCAACTCGGCAATGATACTCGAAATTTCCCTATCTAAGTCATAGCATTGTGCTTGAGTGGGCTCTGGGACGACAGTCAAAGGAACTCCTGAAACCAGAACAGCAGCTGTGAGAGACAGAGCCTCTTCCAAGTGGCGCAGCTTAATGCAGGCTTGGGGATTAGGAAAAGAGCCACTGCATAGCGCATTAAGAACACTTCCATGTTCTTCCACCCAAGCAGCTGCTTCTAGAGCTTTTTCAGTCGCCAAAGACTTTGCCTGTGCGAACTCATGGGCTTGAGCTTCAAAGTATGCTCTAGATTTCTCTAAGACTGTAGTAGCCTCAACTGCAAAGGACTTCGCTGTTGTCTCATGCTGCATAAGGCTGGATCTGTCTTTATCAGCATGATAAAAGACGGCGGACATGATTTCATATTGATTTAGCAAATCCAAGAATCTCTGACAATTTTTACAAAATTGAAAAAAAAAAATAGGTGACTTAGATTTTACAATTACAATATCTAATAGAGCACAGATGGGAGAAAAACTGAATTCACACCTTAAGAGCAGCTTCAGCAGCTGGCAAGGTAGAAACCAGAAGATCATGATGCTCCTAATAAGAAATTAACTTAGTCATGTTAGGCTAACAAAAAATTTGATACTCAAAAGTAGTATGTTCATTCATTCATGTTTTCACCAGGAGATGCTCAACAGGCCAAAAAGTATGCCTTAGATATCATCGAGTTTATTAAAATGATTTTTACAAATTCATTTTTTTGTAGTTAGAAGCACAACTTGATGTTACTCCTTTCAATAAAATCTTAGGCTTGTCTATCTATTGTTCACCAAAGTTGAAGAAAAAACTCTTGCACAACTGACATGGTCCATACATGATTTGCCAGTTGTCATAGAATGGAAATTCTCAAATACAAGTACACATTCTTCTGCAGAAAAATAAAGAAACAGTAGATTAGTCACTTATTGTACCTCCCTATTTTTAGGTAAGAGTATGTGGCATGCATGAGCATGCATGTGTTCATTTGGTTGAGAAAAAGTTTGAGACAAACTCATAATGTTGTAAAAGCAAGTAGAGGACTTTTGGTTTTGGGACTTCACACATTTGGAGATTGTTTTCTCTGAATATCTGCTCTAAGAAATGTTACATCATCTTCCCTTTTGCAAGTGTTCTGCCTGTGGCATATTTGGAAATAGGTGGTGGATACTGGCATCATCACCAAAAGCTTTCCTCCATCAGCTTTCTGCGAGGACAGCTGCTGTTGCCACCAATTCTTCTCCAAATCATATTCTGTTTTCAATTTGCTGATTATCGTCTTGCAAATTCTCTTACAATATTGATTAACCCTTAAATAACATCTAGGAAATCTAGATCAGCGTATACGAGGACAGCTGCTGTTGCCACCAATTCTTCTCAAAATCATATTCTGTTTTCAATTTGCTGATTATCATCTTGCAAATTCTCTTACAATATTGATTAATCCTTAAATAACATCTAGGAAATCTAGATCAGCGTATCTTGATATCAGAACTAAATTCTAATCTAAATTTTAACCCAAAGCCTAGACTCATCATAGATCAAAATTTTACATCTTAAACAGCCACACCTCCACCAAATCAAATCCTAAACATAAAATCGAGCGCCCCTGATGCAGGTGAGTATGCGCGAGTCTTCTCGTGCGGAAGTAGGCGATCCGCCTGTTTGCCTGGACCAAACTGGTCCGAGTTTCTTCCCTTCCAATGAGTCGGTCGATCCTCTTGGGCCACTCCTAGTTATCCTCTTATTATATATTTATTTTCGTGAGAGTTTAGGGTTAATTTTTTGTGAGTTTTGTGTTGGAACAGCTGTCACCATCTGTTTTCCTCCCTTCGAGGGTTGTATCCTAGAGTTCCAGATAGTGCTTCGGTTGTATCTTGACCTCCTGGTGGGGTTAATCTTCCCAATTCTCCTTCCATATCTTCCCCACATTGCTTCCCCACACCGCTCCCTGCTGCAACCATCCAGAACAGCTGTCGACGCTGTTCTTCCTGCAATTTCTACACCCCAGCTTTTTCCTCCCTTCAAGGGTTGTATCCTAGAGTTCCATATAGTGCTTCGGTTGTATCTTGGCCTCCTGGTAGTGTTAATCTTCCCAATTCTCCTTCCATATCTTCCCCACACTACTTCCCCACACCGCTCCCTGCTGCAACCATCCAGAACAGCTGTCGACGCTGTTCTTCCTGCAATTTCTACATCCCAGCCAATGTTTCCTGTGATTCCAGCGCTCTCACTTGCTGTCATCGTTTTTCCAGCCACCAAAAATCCTCTCCTTCCCACCAGCTTCTGTTACAGCCATCTCGGACCACGTCCCTACAACCTAACTGTTGTCCCAGCCCTCCTACACCGCCTCCCTGCCACATATCCACTGTTCCAGATTTTTGGGAACCCAAATTCCACGTTGCTGCGCCCGAGAGAGCAAGGACTTGTTGATCCATTGTCATATCCGCTGACTTGCTCCGCACTCCCCCCTTACCGCCACCTTCCAAACCCTTTCTGATCACCAACAATGCCCCGAGATCCCACCCTAGTTTGAGTGTTTATGTCGTGTTTGTTGCTATTTCACATTACCGGGTGTCGTGTCGTTGTATTTTCACATTCAAGAGTTAGTTGTAATTGCCTTTTTGCTTTCAGTAATAACATTTGCTTTTCCTGTTGTGGTTTGAGTTAACTCTGCTATTAGCCCCGTGCTCTTTTACACTTTCGGCCAACACAAAATCTTACGCTTTCATTGGTTGAAGCCCTAAATTAAGGAGTTAAAACCTGAATTGAGGAGAGCAAATAAGGCGGGTCCAAGAGCTCACAATGGCTTTTCCTGTTGTGGTTTGAGTTAACTCCGCTATTAGCCCCGTGCTCTTTTACACTTTCGACCAACACAAAATCCTACGCTTTCATTGGTTGAAGCCCTAAATTAAGGAGTTAAAACCTGAATTGAGGAGAGCAAATAAGGCGGGTCCAACAGCTCACAATGGAGGATATATAGAGGAAAATCCTCCAATTGTAGCAAATGCTTGCTGAACTACAAATAAGATAACCCACATAAGTCACTCATAGGCATAGCATTGCCCAATCAGATCAAGAGAAGAATGTTAACCCCTTCCGCCAAGAGGTTTATGTGATAAAAAACCAATGCCTTAACCATTTGACCTTGAATATCATAGAAGAAATAATGAATTTGGGGTGAAGGTCAACTTGTGGAATTTTGAGAATCGTATAGAACCAATTCATTGAATAGCTCTAAACTGTGGAATGAAGTTTTAAATACAATGATATTTCACAATTCAGAAGAGTCAAAATAATAGTCATCAATCTCAAGGACGAAACTTCTTAATGCTGGACAAATTTGAAGCTCCTTCAGCAGTGAGAAAGAAAGACTAAAATCACAACGTAATCTAAGATGAAGCGAAAGATGCGGCATAATTATCTTCCCCCGCATTATCGACATGATATCTTCCTAAAACTCCATAATTTGCACCAAAGAGATTTATCTGTGGAAAACTATATGGCTGAATTTAAATAGCTCATACTGAAATAGGAAATGATGGAGTCAGAGAAGCACACAACTGCCATCCTAGTGTTAAAAGTGGATAACACCGTTACATGAGAACTGTCGAATATATGCAGAGCTCTGCCCTAGGATCAAGTAACAAAAGTACATTTGCTAAAGCACCCAAACTAGCTCCTCATGAGGAAAATTTAGCCTAGGATGGAGAGAGGATGGGCAAACCCCTAAAACCCTTCAAGCTAGAAAATGCTTCAAATGTCACAAATTAGGCCAGCATAAATTGCCCAAACTTGAGGGCATTATCTTTCACTAAGTATGGAGTAATGAAAGAAGTGAATAATGGCATTGAAAACACAGAAGAGAGTGAGGATTCAAAGGACAAGTATTTGATCCTCGCAAATAAGGGAAAGATGTTAGTGGTTCGATGAATTCTTTAGAGCCTAAGAGAGTAACAAAGGCTTGCCATAACCTATTCCGTATAGGTTGCATCATGAAGAAAAAGATGTGGAGTCGAAAGTAAATGGAGAATGCAATATCATTCCGATGGTAGAAAAATTAATCCATACCACACACAAGTAATTTTAGTTTGACGATATGTCTATAGATGCTTGTCACATCTTATTAGGCCACCCCTAACAATATGACAGTTGCACACGTTATGATGGCTACAAAAACTATATTCCTCAACAAGAATGAAAAGAGCGTAGTACTTTTATCATAGGAGTTAGAAGAACATTCATACAGTCTGGGGCCATAGTGTCCCACACCCTTTTTCCAAGCTTTAAGAGAGACACAAGTAGAACTAGTATTAGTGGTCCTAAAAGAGAGTGAATCCAAGAAGCCGATATCAGACAAACTAAAACCCATGTTGAAAGGGTTTAGGATGTTCTGATTGACAATTTATCTTATGAGTTGCCACCATTGAGAGAGATCAAGCACGCCATAAATTTAATCCCATGATTAGTTCTTCTAAACCAACCTACCGATAAAATGCGGCTAAAGCCTGCGTGCACTTTTAACTTTGATTGTGTCAAAAAAAGATGGCTCTCGCAATAAATGTATTGATAGTAGAGCAGTAAATAAAATCTAAATCAAATATCAGCTCCTTATTTAACAGTTGGATGATTTGTTAGAGTTAGCATCTTCTCCAATATTGATTTGTACAATGATTCTCGCCATAACCAAATGAGACTAGAAAATGAGTAGAAGGCTTTCAAAATTAGAGATGGATTGTGTGAGTTATAGTCATGCCCTTTGATTTATCTAATACTCTAAGCACTTTGATAAGACAAATGAGCAAGATCTTTTAAGCATTCATCGAGAAATTTATAGATATATATTTTGATGATATCTTGGACTAAAAGTATTCTATGGATGATCATTTGCAGCATTTACGGAAGATTTTGCCCAGTTATATGGTCACTTGAAGAAGTGTGTTATGCATCGGCGATAATTATTTTTTATTAGCTGAAGGGTAAATTTGTCATTTATTTTGTTATTGTTGGGTAAATAGGGGCTTAATAGCTTAGGGTTGAATTTATGCATGAGATTATTGTGGAGTCTTAGAATTAGGGTTTATGAGAGATATCACACTTCTCGTATTGTAGGAATTGGAAGAGATCGCCTACCTCTTGAATTGTAGGTATTTATCTTTGTGTTCATGTAGAGTTGTTTGAATTATTAAGAAAAACATTTGTTTTGCCCTAATTATGATAAAATTCATGTTTATTTCTACATCAAATCCTAGCAAAGTGATATTAGAGTATTTCAATTCAAGAAGAATATAGAATCACAGCAAAAAAAATAATTTCGCGTCCACCCTACCGATCGGACTCACGACAGAGACCCAAATCTCCCATCTTTCTCCTCCTGCATCCGTCTGTGTGATAGAGTCGCGACCGAGCCTGGAAAGCGGCAATGGGCTCGCGACAGAGACTCAAATCTCCTATCTTTGGCCTCCATCGTGGAAGAGAAATATGTCGTAGAAGGTAATGGTGGGGTAGCGGCTTACTGAGACCCAAAACATCCCTTTGCGATACAATCACAATTAAAGCTT